TGAAGATCTACAAGGTCCCTTCCAACCCGACTTCCATGATTCTATGATATGGCCAGAAGAGAATACAAGCTCCCATGGAAAAGTGGGCACAGGGTGGAGCAGCACAGTGGTTTTAGAAAGGGGAAGGGGCAGAGGTAAGTGCTCATTTCTTCTATGATAGAGTCTGGAATCAGGACTGCTCTTTGTTAGAAAACTGTCATCATCCCTTCCAAATGTGCCATGGGCTGTGGGTGACCAGCAAAAATGCTGTTACTGACAGATTGTTGCTTTACAACACTTGATTCACTCAAAATAGGCATGATTGCCCTGGAAAGGTCATTTATATGGAGACAGATCAACTTATTCTCCCTGTGTTTCTTTTTGTGAATGGAAACCAAAGTGGAGCTGGTGTTCAGTCAGTGGCTGAAGTACTTGGTTAACTTGCATATGTTCTTACAAGTTTTTGGCTATGTCTTCATGTTCTGAACCACTTTATCTGCTCATAGATGCTGCACCCCCCTCGACAATAGCTCCCTCTTCTTTCCTGCATCAATTGTAGCACTTGGTTACCTGAAAAAGCAGCATTAGGAGAGAAGCTGAACAAAGACTCACTTGAACATAGTATTATCTCATTTATATCTGTGATGTTTATGTCCTTTTCTACAGGGATGGGACTTTTGTTAGGATTCCTCATTTCAAGCTACCATTGAGCTAATATGTCACTCCTTTGCAGTTGTTCTGTCTGCTTGTGTATTTGTTCTTCATGCATTGTTAAAGGGGGCTGAGTGTTGTTGTAGCCATGACGCTCCAAGAAATACGTGAGAAGCAAGGGGGTTTTTTTGGTGATATACTTTTATTGGACCACCCATGCAGTTCTTGCATTTTTAAAGCCATCCACAACTGTGATCTTCCATGAATTTCTATCAGAGAACCTCTTGACAAAGCAAGCTTTGAAACAAGCACAGTGGGGACAGAAAGATGAACTTTTTCCACATGCTTGGTCAGAACAGTCTCCAGGAAGACTGCAAGAAACTTGCAGTGAACTACAAGTAGCAAGACATACCACTGCTTACGGATTGCTGGATGATGAAGCACTGTACTTCTCTTGGGGCTTCCTGCGACTTTGTGAGTCTGAGAATTGATGCACTTAATGATGGCTAGCTGCAGGGATCAAACTTTAAGAAGTTAAAGCACCTGCTGGGCACAACCTGAGGAATTATCTCCTGCTCTGGGAGGGGGCTTGGATTGGGAGACAGCAGGAGCGCAGGCTCTGCAGTACCTGTGGAGCTAGATCGGGGTGGGAATCCCCATCCCCATCCCCTCCACCCACTGCTTTGCTGGGGGAGCCCAGTGCTCGTGTCACCCACCCGCAAACCTGCACTTCCCAGCCAGGGGCCACGAAATCCTTTCAAGGGGCCAGGCGGTGCTAGGGGTGCGGACAGCACTGCCGAGATAAGCCCGGAGACCCTCGAGAGGAGTCCGCGGTGCCGGGAGCACCAGACCCGCTGCCCTCTTGCCCGGCTCGTGGCTCCGGAAGAATCGCGCCGTCGTGTTTCCACGGTCAGGAAGGCGCTGGCAGCTGAGAGGGGCCCGTCCCGAGGGGCTGGAGTCTGAGTGTCGGGGACCGCGGGTCTGACAGGTCGTCGCTTGCCGGGACCGGGTCCCCGGGCTCAGCGGCGCAGCAC